GAGTATAAAATACACATATTTATAATATGTGGTGAGAGTATTATGAAAAGATTCTAAATGAGAGAACCTCTTTGAAAAACTACATTAAATTACAGTAGAACTCCTGAATGTACTAAGATTTTAATAATCAAAAATAAAGTGTTTTACTAGCAGGGTGTATAATGAGAGCTACTGTGTGAAAAATAAGGAAGACAAATTTGGTAGTTTATCTCACTGGATTATATAATTTACTTAAATGGTAAATAAGTTTGTCCGAAGTAATACTTATAAAAGTTGCCATTTAAATATTAAGCAACAATTATGATCTATGAATTTTTAGAACAAATATGCCAGAATTTAGATAGGATGAAAATGAAAAAGAATACGAGGTTTAGACAGATGCTTTTTATTAAATCATATTAAATGCTATTCCTCTAAATTAAGTACAAATTCCTGGCTAGATTAGGAAGTGACACACATTTCCAAAATGACCAGATATACTCTATTTTTGTATTTTATGAGGAACCTTTTGTATTTCTAGACATGCATATTTTTTTCCTAACACATACTAATAGTGGACATTAAATCAAATTAAATCATTAAATCAAAGGCTCTGGGCAAACCAGCAGACTGAAAGTCAGGACTCTTCCATTAAACAATATCCAGCGAAGAAATTATAGTCACATTATAGTGACAGTGTCCGAAGTGCAAAACGGAAAGGGACACTGCCAGAAACATCCACCTTTGAGACAAAAAAAAAAAGTTTTTTTCTATAAAATCCAATGTTTTACTTGGACTTTTTGAAATGTAATTGCTTTGCTGTTGGTAATTTCTGTTTTGTTTGAAATTCACAAGATCTTCAGTCAGCTGCAAATCCCACTGACATACACATATGTGTAAAACAGAATAATTACATCTCAAAGTCTAATTTCTAGATCTTTGACCCTGAAAAAAAGTTAGGAATCAGCCCTCCCTTATTCAGAGTATTTTTCCCCTTTATTCTTGCCTATGGCATATCTAATAAAATCATGAAGTTCCCTCTAGCTCTGCAGAAGAGTTTAACTGACCAATGATCCTGTACAGTTCCTTTCCACTTTCAAAAGCAATACTGAGAGAGAGTGAGAGCAGTATTTCCCTTACATAATAAGTGTTCTTGTTTCCATGCAGCAGTGTTTTCAATTCTACATCTTGAGAGGATGTGGATAATATGTGAGAACATCTGCTATGAAATACAGAAAATTAAATACAGCTTATTATTCTTCAGCATACTAAAGACCCTCTTAATCATTTCCAACTTACACTGTATTTACCAAATTCTGGTTTGAAATCTTACATTGTTTGACAACCTAATCATGTATGTATTTAAACACACACACACACACATATACACACCTCCATTCCACTTTCCAATTACCAAGTGCAAAATCATGTAAAAAAGACTCACAGCTAATACTGTGGCCCCATTTAGAGACTAGATCTTAAGTACAGAGTGTCTTAGTTAAAACCAATTTGTTTGTATATGCTGGTTTTCCAGAAAACCAGTAATGCCAGTGGTAATTTGCTGACTGTATTTTCACCTACCATAATATTTACACATATCATTTGTAACGGCTTTTATTGTTTAATCTCCACTGCATTTCAGTATTGGATACTACGGAATTACAGTTATTTAGCAGGCTGTAAATAATGGAGTTGGCATGTGCAATTGATATTTAAAATGCCTTACAACAACTGTAAAAGCCTCATTACAGACTAGCAAATCATTTCTAACAAGCAAGTTCAACTTACAAACACCAAAGCAAAACTGTAGTCTATGCTGCAAGCATGTTTGTTTTATTTAAGTGATACACATTTAATGCAGTGTGCAATGGACCATCCATACAAACTTTAAATAAGAAAGTGAAGTTCCAAAGTAATATGGCTATTGTGAAGCTTTTAAAAATAAAACTGAAATAATAAAAATAAAAAGAATTCTGAGTAACAACAGAAAGAATAGCTTACTTTCCCCTCCCCCTTTATAAGCTAGTGTCCAATTTCTTCTTTTCTGAACAGCTGTATTATCCAACTTAAGTTGCTCTGCTAATTTCAGTCCCACAAGGACTAACTTGGAAGGCAAAAAAGTACTAAAAAAGATCAATTTGCTGGGAAAGATCAAATGAGAAAACTGTGGGGACAGCACCAGGTCAGAGCATGAAGAACTAAGCAGACCTGTTCTTCATTAACTTAAGCTCTCTTGGGATGTCACACACTACCTGTCCATGGGCTTACTGAACTGCCTAACCCCCATCTCTGTACCATTCTTCTGGGCCCAAGTGAATCATATCCTGCTGCTGACAAGTTAGCAGGGGACTGCGGCTGCAACATGAAAGTACTTTTCTTTCTTGTCTAAATCAGGCAGATTTTTGAAAAGAGGACACAGCACTGACTCGTGACATGGCAAGATGAAATGAGAGGTCTGGGCTGGTCTTTGAGCTGCGTAGATAAAAGTAATCAAATAACACTCCTGGAATGCAAATTGGCATTCTTGACTGCAGCAATTGCACAACCATGAAACATCTCTGACAGCAAGCAAGATTAGGACAAAATGTTATGTAAAGCACTGAACTCAAAAACTCACTAGAAAATTCAACCCGTAACACCTACATTTTAATATAGCAGTAGTCATCTCTGCTTTTGTCTGGTTTTTTTACTTTGTTTACTGTAATCCCATACTCGTCTTTCCAAAATGCCTCAACAGTAAAAAGATTATGTGATTAAAAACATAGATCTGCTTTTTTTCCCCCTAAAATGCAACACAGTTTTATTTTTTACAAAATACAATACCAAACCAGGGTTTTTCAATTACGTCTGCAAGATGTGCGCTTAAGGAGCACTTTCAGAATTCCAAGTCTTAAAAGGAGTTTCAAAATTTGCTCATAACAAATTAGTTTATAATTTACACTTGTAATTTTCTGCATCTGGATCAGGTAAAGGTGAATCATTTGAAATATATAGTAAATTTTAAAATTCATGAGCTTTAGGAATTTAAACCAGAACATGCATAGAGCTAGATGGTTCATTAATATTGGGCTGCTTAAAATGAAACCACAGTGTATCAGACAGCTCAAATGCCCCATTAAATTTCAGATTAAAAAAATCCTGCAATTTTTAGAGGCAAGGAAAGTTCCATATACTTTTACAGGAACTTGGTATTCTTGTGCAGATCTGCTGATCAGGCTTATTAAATATTACTGTCTGAAATGAACTCTAATTAAACTGTGAACATTTGTACTCTGAAACTATGAAAAAAATGCCACCCCATTTTAAAATTCATCTAAGGAGATGGGTTATTATACAGAGAGCAAAAATAGAAGATAATGAAAAATAAAAGCCCCCTTACAGTAAAAAATATTTCAATGACAGCTATATACAGCTAACATACAGATTAAAAAAAGAAATATATAATATCCTGCTTTGATTTCATACTTAAAAATAGCTTCAAACCATTTTAACTGTCAGCTAGACACACACACAAAAAGACACTCATTGCCACTTTAATCCTGGGTACACCAGATTACTACATGATTTCTTTTGTGCATCAGTTTTACAACAGCTTGACTCTAGGGTAAATGGGAACCATCATAAATCGCATGCTGCTTTCAAACCCACTTTAATTTCTGTCAGCATTACTGTAACCACAGTCCTGGGCACATGCTGCTTTTTCCCCCTCCCCCTTTTTTTTTTCCTTGTTGCCTACATTTGACAGTTGCATCTCCTACACTCCAATTGTGGCTTTGATCACTGAAACAAGACATGTCATGTTAGGGAGAGAAGGGAAAAACACAAACCCTCCATCACAAAGTCCCTTCATTCACACAGACATACACTCTACCTATAGTTTGAGTGCTGTGTATATGTAGGTATGCAGGCATAAACATATACATATGTAAGTATACACGGATATATACACACACGTGTGTGTGTGTGTGCATATGTATGTGTATATTCAAGGCACACAAGACAAGTTTGTAACATCCCTGGAGTGCGGTGACAAAAGCTGACTGAAAGCAGAGAGGTAGTCATACAGTGAGTGGAAATATACTACTTCACTGAATATGGGCTGATCACTGTTCATCACTAACTAAGGTTGATCCACGTGTTAATGTGAATAGTTACCATTCTGCACGTTAAGTGCAGTCTTAAACGAGCTTGTCCTTCGCAGCTGCTAACCTATCCTCACATCACGACCCAGAAAAACGGACTTCAGTAAAATGAGGTCCTCGGTCATTTCGATTTTTAATTTTTAAATTAAAAGGTCGTGAAAGCGCAAACCCTGCTTTGCAAACCCCCTGCTGTAAAGGAGACGGGCGTTTGCACAGCACGTGAAATAAGAAGCAAAAACTTGTTCGAAGCTGGTTGGGGGGGGTCCCCCTTCCCTTTTACAGTCAGGGCATCGGCACAACTCTGTTCAGTTAGCAATCACTGATTGGAGAAGTGCAAACTGCAAGCACATGCATAACAAAGAGTTTCGGAGGGAAGGTGGATTTACACTCCTGTCTCCCTGCCGCAGACATTGTTTCACACGCAAACACACAACTCCTTCCAGGCTCTCAAAGATTACCTTTACATTGTGTGCAAACCTTAATCATTTCCTAGCAGAAGGTGGTGTCCAAAACAGATAGACCACCGTATGTCCGATTCAGCCACTCCACCTTCACTCTCCCTCCATCCATACTCACTTTTTTTACGCTAGCCCCTCATATTTAGTGAAGGCAAGGAGGCGGTAAAAAGCATGTGGTCATCCCATTTCAACCCCCCAAATTCAAAGTTTAGCACAGCTTCTTGGGCATTTTTCCCCTAATCCACGCAGCACAGAGCTGATTTATTTATTATCTTCCTCCTTTGCCCGGCTGCTTGCTTATTTGAAGACTGAAACACACCGATGGCGAGCAGGGCTGCTTGTGTTACTGCACAATTTATTAATCAAATCAAACCAAAGTAAAGGCTAGAATGAAAACGAAAGGCTGCTGGAAACTTCTTACCATCTCTGCATGCTGGTTGTCAAGTGCACCCCCTGTCTCTCGAACTCCTTTCAGCGGCAGTGCCTGCACCCTTCCTTTGCCTCTGGGCTCTCACCGCCTCACTCTCTCTCTTTTCCCCCCTCTCTTTCCCTCCCCCCCCCCCCCCCCCCCCCCCCCCGGTGATTTAAACTAAAACCAGAGATTTAAAAACCAAAAATTACTTTCCCTCCCTCAAAACAAACAAACAACCAAACAACAAAACCCACCAAAAACCCATCACCACCAAAACAAACAAAAAACCCCCGGCAGCAGCAGTCTCTCTCTCCCCCCCGCTCTCTCTCTGACTCTTTCAAAACTTCAGCCCCCGAAGTTCAGCTCAAGCAGCAGGGAGAAAGAAAGAGAAAGAGCTTTCAGCGGAGAGCTGGAAATGATGGGAGGAGGGACCCAGGTTCGGGTCAGAGCCTCCACAGGTTGGTTTGTTGTTGTCGGGATCTTTGGCTGGGGAAGGGGAGGCGGCGGGGGGCGGCTGCGAGCGGGTCCGAGAGGGTAGTGCTGCTTCCTCCTAACTCCGCGCTCTCGGGCGAGGACGGCAGGCAGGGAGGCAGAGGGAAAGGGTAAGAGCAGTCGGGGCGTTGAAAAACTAACTCCATCTGCCTCCTCCCTCGCCCGCAAACTTTCTATGCCGGGCGGGGGCCGCGGCAGAGGCCGTCCGCGCCCAGCTGTCAGAAACACCCAGCGGCCGCCGCCAACTTCGTGGCGAGGGCGGCTAGCGGGGGCTGCCGCCCCCTCTGCCCCCTTTCGCCTTCCCGCTTCTCCGCCCGCCTGCCCCTCGCAGCGGCTGCGGTCCCTCCCGCTGCTTCTCCTCTTCCTTATCGGCTCCAGGCGCTGCTGGAGCGAGCGAGCGAGAAGGCGGCAAGGCAAAAGCAAGCTGGAGGGAGGGTTGAGAGGGGGCAGAGAGACGGCGCAAAATGGAGCGTAGCCCAAAGGAGGGGGTAAGGAGCCGCAGGGGGAGCGGGGAGAGCGTTAGAAAGGAAACGAAAAGTTAGGCAGAGGAAAAGTTTTCGCTCGTGGTGCCGGTTTCCCGCTTCCCACCCATTGCTCCATCAGCTCTCGGGACTGTGCTGCGGCGGCGGCGGCTGCTGCTCGGTGTGGGATCTGAGGAAATTTTCTGTAAAAGGGTGGGATTTTTTTTTTTTTTTGGGGGGGGGGGGAGGGGAGGCGGGAGGAGGTGAGCCGTCACGGTTGTACGTTCGCAGGGAACAGACTAGAGTCACATCTGTGTGTGACACGGAGCCAAACCGAGCGTAACCCTGCCCCGGCGGCGCCGTGGAAGCGCAGCAGCCGCGCCGGCCCTGGCTCGGCACAGCGCAAGCACACAACGCCTGGCCCGCTCCCGCTGCCGCTCTCGCGGGGGGACGGGCGGGGCGGGCCCTCCGCGCCCTCCCGCGGCTGTAGGCGGGCCGGCCGGCGCGGCGCTGCGTGGGGCACCGCGTGGCGCGGTGTCTCCGCACTGTTGGCCGTCTGTGTCCGGTTTCCCCTCTGAAACCTTCCCTTACCGATTCGAAGCGCGGTTCTTCCACGCGTGCCCCGCTCGCGGCGCCGAGGGGGTGGCAGAGCCGACCTGCGTTGCACAGGATGCCTGGCCGGGGGAAGGTGGCAGGGGGCTGTCAGGCTTGACCTGCGGCACCGGCAGCCCAGTCCGTCCGGCTCCTGCCCTGCCCGAGAAGGCGCTGAGGGTCACAAGTGCGTTCAAAGCCGGCTCCCCTCCTCAGGCGCCGTATAAACACGAGGTTTATAAACGAGATTTGAACACGGCCGGACCGTTAAAAAGTGAACGTGAGGGGAACTTTCCAGGCACTGTGGAACAGAGACAGCACATTTTGCTCCCTTTTGGTGTAGCTGTACACTTTGATGACATAGCACTTAGAAAAATTGAGAGGAGATGAGAGGTAGCTGATTTGCACTCCTGATTTTTCCTGCATCTGCAATGGACTAAACCCATGGCAAACTCTTCCGGTAATGAACTGCATGTCCCCGTGAATTACCAACTTCCCAAGCTTGTTAATGATGCCTTAGGGTATCATCTTTGTTATTTGTGCGTTTCCTATGGCTGTCAGAAGAGGGAAGGATAAAGGATCTATATTTCTATATTATCTATATCTATGTAAAACTGATTTTCATAAAAATTAATTTAATATTTCTCAATGTTGTCTGTGTTTCTGTGGAAAATTCATTGTTTTCTGGTTATTCATCAGATATCTTCATTAGACATAATATGTATCAGCTTATGGACAGGATTTGCAGTGTCCACACTTCATCAGGATTAGTTTTGATCTTTGAGAGCATGTTTCAGGCTCTAGACAACGATTCAAGAGAATTTTGCATTTGTCAGGATTTGGGGTTTTTTTTCTACAAGTACCTTGACCAGTGAAGATTTTGAGTAATTTATTGTCATTCTAAAAAAAAAAAAAATCACAAGATTAATTAAGCCATGATTTTACGCATTTTCTGTCAAAGGGGAGAGATAAGAAAAACCTTGTTAATTATTTTAGAGTCACATTTTATCGTACATAAAAACGTATTTGCCCTTTTGAAACTGGGAAGGGCCAAGAAGTTGCCAAAAAATTATGTTCACACAGCCCCCTCGTGGTCAAAGCCTTCAGAGCCTCACATCCACCTCTGCTCACTTGAAGCAAGGAAGGGTCCTGCCAGCCTGTTGTAGATTAAAAATAAAGTGCTGTAACCTTGGCTCGCAAAAGGCATGGTCACCTGCTAGAGTGAAGATATGCCATGCCCATTACAAGGCTAATCTTTACTGTGCAGTTTCACAGAAGTGAATCAAAGGTTTTAAATGGTTACAGCTTTGTGAAATGAAAGGCTTATAGTAGGTAGACAGCCATTGACCTGAATTTGAAGCCAGCTTTCCTTACAACACTGGAAAAGTGTTTTTTTTTTTTTTTTAACGGGGGCTAGGCATTTAAAGGATGTATTTCTGTATGCACTAAACAAGTAGATTACAGTCATAGTTACTTATATCATACAATAAAAATTTCTAAGCTCTGATTTGTCATTTCAAAGACCCTGTAAGTATAGCACAATCATTAATAGATTCCAGATACTTTATTTTTAAAGAATCTTAAATGATTTTATATGGAAACTAATAATGCCACATGGAGCTACTCCTTTGTTATCTTGCTTGATATTTGATTCAGCATTTTTAAACCTCTCTCTTTTTTTTCTTCCACCTGTCAATAAGCCCATGGCTTTTGTATTGACAATATATTATAGCCTCTTGAAAGCTGATGAGGAGGTAAAATAGCTGGAGGCAAGTTGGCTGTTGGGAGTTCTGAGTCTTGGGTTGACAGTATGGGATTACAGGAGAAACATGGTGGAGTAAAACATTTCTGCTCAAAGGATCATCAGCAAAAAACTAACCGGTAGCATTTGAATATATAACACCATTAGACTTCAGACTGAACAAGCTCTAAGTGCTTATTTTCCAAAATTTCACATCTTTCAGAATCATGCTTTCAGTGACATATGCAATAGTGTTTTAAATTTCTATGGAGTTCTTGCCTTCAAATTTGTCTACTATGTGATATACTCTGAGATAAAATTAGCAAGATAGGATTGTTATTAAAATACAATACCATACACATGCACAGTGACTTTTGTTTCTTTATAGTGCTGTAGTGACTGTGAAATCAGCACGTCATTGATGTTGCAGGAAATGACAACATATCTTTACTTCTAGTTCAATGAACACTGAAAAGACAGCATACAGACTCATGATGTGCCACAGGACTGTCTTATGACTTCTTAAAATGTGTACTTATCTTAAATTTTGGATATCATATGTAAGGTTTCAGAGAGTAACAGCAAAACCTAAACTTTTCCTTGCCTTTTAGACTAATGATATTTGTTCATAAAGAAAGCAGCATCTAATAATTTCAGCTTTATGTCTGTAAATAGGAATATCTGTAAAGCAAGTACTTTCTCACTGTAGATTTCCTTCAAAACCAGCCATAACCACCATAAAGAATTAATTGTACTCTCTGGTTTGAGATTCATTAGTGTAACAAAGTTAGACAGTAAAATAATTTTATTCTGGTTTTTGTTTGTTTGTTTTATCTTCCAGATTGGAGCACCAAGATGTTGCAAGTTAGAGTCAGAGTAATAACTGCAACTCGAGAAGAATGGAAGCATAATTCATCTAAATTGTGTTGTCTCCAGAATGTGGTATTTCTCTGCTATCTTGATATTCCTTCTCACAGAAGGAATTTCTGGTTCACTTGTATCTTTTGCCTATTTTGCAAACCTGGTGATGCAGTCCAGAGGATGTGCCCAACAGACCAGAGGTGGGACATAATGCACCAGAGGCCTGAAAGGGGCTATAGCAAGATACCAAACTGAAATCCTCCATATTCTGATGGGTGGCAAGGTAAGAAAAAAACACTTCTAGAGAATGGTATAATTGAAATGTTAATGAAAAAACAGTTTACCAATAGAAAGAATGTCCAACAGAGAAATTATTCCCAGTCCTGAGTATGAAACCGTTGTAATCCACAATTTGTACAGGGGCAAAGAATCCAATCCAAAAGTAACCATCAAAATTTTAGACCAATACCATCATGAAGTCGTAATCAGGTTATTCATTTTATTTAGGAATATGGCTGTAGCATCCATATACATACTGAATGTTTGTATTTAGTTGTTATTCTAAGTATTACTTACAATAACTAGCATGACTTACAATAGATAGGCTCCTACTTCCTATTAGAGACTCCCTTTTTTTTTCTTTATAATTTTTCCTCTTTTTAGGCATTTTTATTTGAGTTTTTTGCTAGTTAGTCTATCAGATACTGAAATTTTGGGAGAACTTCAGCCATTGTCAAGAACTTAATGAGAAGAGAATATCTGAGCATTTGTTATAAAAAAGGGTCTAATGATTTCTATGGCAAACTATAATTTCCTGACAGAGTTTGAAGTTTGATCTGTTGTAGGCAGAGTATCAAAGATGCTGTTTCTAAAGAAGTTCACCTAAACTTAGCTATGAACCACCAGAACCTGAGACAAGAAGTGGAAAACTAGGGACCAACTGAAAACATTTTGTTTAAAGTCAGTTGCACAGGCTCACACAGGAGCTT